GTCTCTCTCTCTCATCATAATACTAAAACATTCTAATCATGTGTCTAGTGCTTCACAGTTTGCAGAGTGCTTGCCCACACATGAGCTCATTGAAAAAAAATTTTTAGGCAGGGAGTGTGAAGCAGTAGACAGAGTGTGACCCAGGAGTCAGAAAGACCCGGGTTTGAATCTCATCTCTGACATTTACCAGCTATGTGACCACGGGCAAGTCACCTCTCTTGAGTCTCCATTTCACCTCTGTCAAAAGGAGCTAAGAATAGCACCTAGCTCACAGAGTTTTTATGTCAATCAAATGAGATAATGCATACAAAGGTGTTTTGTAAATGCTAAAGTGCTGTAAGTCAGCTACAATCATCATCATTCCAACTCTAACAATTTGAGACTCTGCCATTTTTTTCTTTTATCCTTCTGTGCCTCTGACCAACCCCTGTTACTTAGCACTGCCAATGGCTCTCAAGGGGATGTTGTTGACCTCTGGGTAGCAGGAATACAACGGCGGGTTAGGTTCCCACCATCAACTCTTAGTCATCTGTTAGTAGTTTAGGGTTTGGGTTAAGTGCCCAAATGCCACAAAGCATGACACGATTTGTGGCTTATGCAAAATCACTTAAAACCATCTACCCCTTTCCATCTTCCAGATGAGCTGAAGGTCGTTGGGTCCAGGCCTAACATAGATGAGTGTCTCTCTGATTCCTGTTGTGTATCTCTGATTGTGTCCCTAAGCTAAATAAAAATATAATTTTTTTGAATGAACAATTATTTTTATTACACACTCCTTCCCTCTCCTTCATTATGGAAATACCTGAGGGCTAGATGTATTTACAGCTTCCTTGTTATCATTCCATTACAAGCAAGTAATCATCTTGATTGATGCCTACATTATCCTCGTCCCAAACTATCCCCTTTCAAGACCATGTATGCAATAGCTTTCCTACTATTTCACTGTTCCCTAAGGAAGCTAAGTATAGAGCAGAAACCTGGCAACATGAACTCACCTCAAACAACTCTCTGGGGATCATCCCTCCAGTCTACCTGAGGGATGGACGTCTTGGAGCAAGCCCCACTTTAATCCAATGTGAAGCCTGGACCAACACCAGGTCATCCAGAGTTGGGCTATAAAATATATAGGGACAGTCTAACCTGGTGGGTTCTAGTCCAAAACAGGCCTTTCCATTACCACAGCTAACCTCAAATGAACCCGAATTTGGATACCATCCCTAGAAAAATACTCTCACCTCCTGCGATGTCTAGGAACTAGAGAACACTCCCTCAATCTCCCAATCACTCCCAAGGCCCAACTAGTCTTTAGAGGTTCTCCTTCAATGATCAGTTTCCTCACAAACCCCTCTATGATTATGTGATCTCATCTCGTAGCAAGCAAAGCCACAAAAATTTGACTCACCTGACTCCCATCTTGCAGTCCATCACACAGGGAGAGTCAAAGTCAGCCAGCAAGTCCTCCATCTGGTTGTACCGCTCCCCGTCCTTCACTACATCCCCATGGTAGGCAGGGACAAAGGGCTTCAGAACATCTGTCATAAGTCGATCAAGACAACGTTGCTCTGATTCACAGTGTTTCTTCAAGATCCTGCCATTGGCTGCTGCTTTGAAACTCCCTGCATCGCAAGACAGAACAAAAGAGTTTGATCCCCAAGGTACTGCTAAACTGTAAGCTCCATGAGGGCAGATGTTATATCTTAACCTAATTGTTTGGGGGGGGTACCTAGGATAGTGCTCTGCAAATATCAAGTGTTGGCTGAAAATGGAATGAATTGAATTGTCAAAATTTCACATTCCAGGCTTCCCAGTGAAATCCTCCAACTCACTAACCCCAGATGTGCTCTTCACATGCACCCTGATGGCCCCACTTCTTTCCACAGAGCCATAAACAACTCAACAGCTGCTTGGACAGTTGCTAAAAATATGGCCAGAAGGTTCAACAGAGTTCTCAGCTGCCACTCACAAGCATTACAAAGAAGAGACAGGTTACCATATTCTACAACTCTGCTTTAGGGCACAACAGGGCCCTCTTCTGGTCTCATGAGTAGAGGGTAGTAATTCCCCTAAGGGCTATTCCCTGTGCTTTCCTATCTCACTCACTAGGGAACAAGAAGGTATAGCCAGGGGAAAGTGGACACATGCCCATAATACTCTAGTCCAGGAGTTCATAACCTGGTTTATGGATAGATTTCACTATGAATTTGGATGGTTAAAAAAAAGTTACATCTTTATTTAACTAACCTTCGGTTTTGTTTATAATCCAATGTATTTCATTTTATGCATTTAAAAACACTATTCTGAGAAGGGGTCCTTAGGATTCACCAGACTGCCCAAGGGGTCCATGACACATAGAGGTTAAAAATAGTTTTTTGAAAGAGCTATCTGACTATAAGCAAACTGGGAGAGGAAGGAATAGTTTACCTGTCAGTTCTATGGAGAACAGAGGAATTCATGACCAAACAGGAGATAGAGAACATTACAAAAAGCAAAATAGATAATTTTGATTACATTAAATTGAAAAGTTTTTGCACAAACAAAGCCAATGCAACCAAGATTAGAAGGAAGGTAGAAAATTGGGAAAGAATTTTTACAACCAGTTTCTCTGATAGGGGCCTCATTTCTAAAACATACAGATAATTAAGTCAAATTTATAAGAATACAAGTCATTCCCCAATTGATAAATAGTCAAAGGATATGAATAGGCAGTTCTCAGATGAAGAAATTAAAGCCATCTATAGTCATATGAAAAAAATGCTCTAAATCACTATTGATTAGAGAAATGCAAATCAAAACAACTCTGAGGTACCACATCACACCTATCAGATTGGCCAACATGACAAAACAGGAAAACGAAAAATGTTGGAGAAGATGTGGGAAAATTGGAACACTAATATATTGTTGGTGAAGTTGTGAAATGATCCAACCATTTTGGAGAGCAATTTGGAACTATGCCCAAAGGGCTATCAAAATGTGCATACCCTTTAACCCAGCAATAGTACTTCTAGGGCTATATCCCAAAGAGATCACACAAAGGGGAAAAGGACCCACAAGTACAAAAATATTCATAGCAGCTCTTTTTGTGGTGGCAAAGAATTGGAAATTGAGAGGATGCTTATCAATTGGGGAACGGCTGAGCAAGTTGTAGTATATGAATGTGATGGAATACTATTGTGCTATAAGAAATGATGAACAGGCTGACTTCAGAAAAACCTGGAAAGACTTGTATGGTCTGATGTTGAGTGAAGTGAGCAGAACCAAGAGAAAGTTGTACACAATAACAGCCACGTTACGTGATGACAAATATTGATAAACTTAACCCTTCCTGGCAATACAAGGATCTAAGACATTTCCAGAGGCCTTGTGATGGAAAATGCTATCCACATCCAAAGAAAGAACTATGGAAGTTGAATTGCTATTTTTTTTCTCTTCTGTTGAGTTTTGTTTCCTCTTTCTGATAGTTCCTCCTATTGGTTTTAATTTTTACTTACAACAACACTAATGTGAAAAAATGTTTAATATGAATGTAAATGTATAGCCTATATCAGATTATGCACCGCTGTGGGGAGGATGGTGGGGAGGAAGGGGGAGAAAAATTTTAAACTCAAAAGCATAGGAAGTGATTATTGATAAATCAAAATAAATTAATAAAAAATATAAAAAAAGAAAGAGCTATCTGCCCATTTAACTCCATATTCCTTCCATATTTATTCTTCTTCAGCATTTAAAGGATGTTGTTTAATGCGTAGGGGGGATTTCCTTAACCAAGCAGCTCATAACTCATCTAGGTGGGCCATCAGATAGTGTTGAGCCTGGAGTCAAGAAGAGCTAAGTTCAAATCTGACCTCAGATACTTGCTAGCTGTGTGGCCCTGAACATGTCACTGTTTGACTTGATTTCTTCATCTGTCAAATGGGGATAATAACAATGCTTATCTCACACAGCCTTTCAAATAAATGCAATGTATCCTCATTTTAATTCTTCCCTTCATGTCTTTCCCCCACTTCTTGTGCCCACCGTAAACTGTCATGGAGGCAATCTCTTTGGTCTGTGGCATGTAACAAACAGAATAATAGTCTGACCCTAGAACCTTCTGAGGTTCAGGGTCCCCTAATTCTGGGATGAAAGGAAGAGGTAATCCTGAGATAACCCCTATATCAACCATCACAGCATGTACCAGATATCCTCTTCATTTCAGCATTTATCATATACTTTCTTTAATATTTCATCAGGGTCTTCTTTCTCAAAGGGCTATTGTAAGGATAGAATAGATAATATTTTCAAAGGGCTTAGCACATAGTAGGCTCTATGTAAATGTTTGTTGTTGTTGCTGTTATTATTATTATTATTGTTTTTATCTGTAAAGTGGGATGATAATAATAGCATCTACCTCTCAGAGTTCTTGTGAGGGCCAAAAAAGATAAAATTTGTAAAGCACTTAGCCCAAAGCCCGGCACACAGTAGGCATTTAATAAATGCTTGCTGTTGTTTTTAATATGTTAGTTGCTGTTCTTCCTGAATTGCTCATCATAAATTAATTACCTGGGGGCCAAACTTCTGTCATGCCTTTAGCTGACTAACACCCTCTCTAGAATGTGGGCTCTCCTGGCATAGCCTTGGAGAAATCTGGGTAACCTCCACTCCATAATTAGGTGTCAGGATAGAACCTGAATGGCACCACTCATTCCAGAAATATTTATGGAGCCCCTCTCACATACTGTGCTAGGAAGGGCAGGTGATACAAAGGTATAAATAAAGTATGATCCTGGTCCTAGAGGAACCTACAATCTAATCTGAGAAAGAAGACCCTGGTGAAACATGAAAGAAAGTGCATGATAAATGCTGAAATGAACAGATCTGATACATGCTGTACGGGTTGCTATAGGGGTTATCTTCAGGATTTCCTCTTCCTTTCATCCCAGAATTAGGGGACCCTGAGCCTCAGAAGGCTCCAGCGTCACACTATTATTCTGTTTGTTACATGCCACGGAGCAGAAGTGGTTGCTTCCATGACAGTTTACATTGGGCAAGAAGTGAGGGAAGGACACAAAGGGAAGAATTAAAATGAGTATACACTGCATTTATTTGAAAGGTTGTGTTGAAGAACAGGGTTGAAAATGGGGTGAATGTCCCAATATCAGGCCATAAATTCTCATCTTTAAAAGGAATTCACCCTAGGAAACAAGGGGAAGAGAACAAGAGTTTATTAAGGGCCTACTATGGGCCAGCCACAGTGCTAAGCACTTTAGTATGCACATAATCTCATTTGGTCCTCCTGACAACCCTGGGAGATACTCACTATTATTTCCCCTATTTTATAGGTGAGGAAACTGAGAATGATAAAGGTTAAGTGACTTGCCCAGGATCACACAGCCAGTCTGAGGCCTTGGGTCCTCCTGACTCCAGGCCTATTGATCTATCTACTATACCATCTACTTGCCTCTACCTACTTCTAACCCTAGATATCCAAAAACTCCTTGGGGACATTCTGAGGCCCAAGCTCTGCCCTCCGAACTTCAGTTTCCACTTTTTCAAAAAGGTAGACATGGATGTAATGGGTGGCACCTTCCCCCTCAACATTTAAGGGACTCCCTAGGCTCTACTGGGAGAGACCAAAGGAGCTGCTCCTACCTGCATGCCCCGCCAGCTGGATCCAAGGGTACTTCTTTTTGAAGGACATGACGAAGGGAGACCAGTGCACCATATTCTTGATTTTCCGCCATGATTTGCTCTAGAAAACAACAAAGAAAAAGTCCTACCCGTTAGAAAGAGGGTTCCTACTTATCAGTCAAGTGAATTCTAAGCAAGGTGAGAACCTGCCTAGTGAAAGGTGAAAGTTGATCACCACCAGTACCAGCAGACTTGGTGAGCCTCAAGGTGCAAAAAGCACTTCATGGGAATACAGAGAAGGTGGGAATCTTCACTCTCATTTGACCAATGAGTTCACTGAGGTCCAGGGAAATCAGGTAGTTTGCCTAGGGCTGCATCATGAACAAAAGGTGAAGCTGGAAACAGGTAACTATCTTTCTTGAATGCCCTATTCCTTATTTTAATGGTGACTATGTTCTTCAGACCAAAAATTAGGATGTATTTTCTTTTTTTTTTTTAGGATATATTTTCTTATAAAGGTTTTTCTTCCCCCAGTATTAAAAAACAAACAAACAACTGCATTGTGCTGAAATAGTATTCATTGGCTTTACAACTTGAAATGTTGGAGTCAGACATTGCACCAGCACCTACATGGTAACACCTGTACCAAGTACTTACATACTACATATATAATTATAGACACATGACAGAAAATACATACATATTGTACCTTTTTCTTTTTCATTCTGGACTTGTGATTTTCATCATGTGTAGTGAACTCCCATTATGGAAATTCCCTTTACCCAACACAGATAAGTTACTCATCTTTATTTTTTTTTAATTTTTATTTTCAGTTCCAAATTCTCTCCTTCCCTTCCCTACCTCCTCCACCCACTGAGAAGGCAAGAAATATGATACTCATTATATATATGAAGTCATGCAAAACAAATTTCCACATTAGCCACGCTGCCCAAAAAAAGAAGAGAAAAAAGTATGCTTCAATCTTCACTCCAAGAACATTAGTTCTCTCTCTCTCTCTGTCTCTGGAGGCCAATAGCATTTTTCAACATGAGTCTTTTGGAATTGTCGTTGAATCAGCATATTGATCAGAGAGCAACTCATTTCTAACTTAGGGTCTTCAAAGGTTGACTGGGGGCACCGCACAGTGGTCACAGAGTTAATTCATGTTAGAAGCTGGATTTCTACCTGGGGCTTCCTCCAAAGCTGGCCCCTAATTGACATAGCAGCTTATAGTTATAAAAACAAAACCCTATGTTTATGTATTGCCTTGAGATTTACAAAGTGCTTTTCTCACAATGGCCTGGCTCTTACGTTGTTGGTGGCTTTAGCCCTCTTCCTTGGCTAGGCAATGTGTTCTAGGCCAGCTTCTTTTGGGGGACACCCTTTGGCTACCCAGAGTTGAGGCACAGTCTAGGGATGCTGGGCCTAACAGGAAGATTGAGGCAATAAAACTGGGCCAAGTCCATTTTATATCTGAGGAAACAGTGCCTGAGAGAGGTTTTCCATATTTGCTTTCCATAATCACAAGGCTAGTAAGTGTCTGCGTCAGGACTTGAACTTGGGTCCTTTGACCAAGAGCTCTTTCTATTGCATCACACATACATAATATAGATCAACATAAATATGCTTTCATTTTTGTCTTTGTACCCTAGTGCCTGGCACAGAGCAGGCACTTAATAAATGTTTGTGGACTGAATGACTAATTAATGAATAACTATGGTTTTCTTTAGTCTATGATCCTCTTTTTTTTTAATGTCTCAAATGTTTGTGGACTGAATGACTAATTAATGAATAACTACGGTTTTCTTTAGCCTATGATCTTCTATCTTTTTTTTTTTGTGTGTGTCTCAGTCCTTTATCTACGAAGAATATTTTTAGTGTAGAGCTTCCTGACTTGATCCATTCAGCAACTGTTGGTCTACCAAAATGTCAGCCATTCTGGAACACTGGGGTGTTTTCTGGGGATAATAGGGCAATGTATTTGAAGTCAAGACTGTCCTAGAAAACTCAGGCTGTCTGGTCACTGTGTCCCGCCTTCCCATCAGAGAAACAGCCATATAAACCCAACCATCCACATTACCATGGCTCCCTCAGGAGAAACCTACTGGCAGAATTCTAGCTCCTGGTAATTCTAGCTACTTGAAGGCAACATGTTATATGTCAGCTTCCTCATTTAGGAGGAAGGCACCAGAGAGATTTCTCCACGCATGAGCTTCAGTTTCAAAGACAATAATCGACAAGCACTGATGACGTTGATGAAGTATTTACCTTATGCCTGGCTCTGTGCTAAGTGCTGGGGAAACAAAGAAAAAGCAAAAAGAACCCCTTGCCCTCAAGGATCTTCCATTCTAATGGGGGAACTGAAACATATATAAACAGATGTGTACAAGATAATCCAAAGTAACTATGATATAAGACTCCAAGATAGGTCTTCTCACTGTTCTAATGGCCAGACTGTCATTGGATTTCATGGAAAGAAGTCTGGAAACACAACCTATCGCGTCATTCCCACAATGAGCTGAGCTGTCTATACGTCTATTCTGTTTCTTAAGTATTTTCTGCAATGAACCACAGTCTTGCTAACCCAAAATCGTGTGCAGTACAGAAAAATGCTTAAGCCTCTTTGAGAGGCCATATTTTTAAAGTTGAAGGAGACTTGGGAGGTTATCTAGTCAAACTCCTTCAGATGACAGATGAAAAAACTAAGACCCAGAGAGACCTGCTCAAAGTCACATGAAGGTTAAGTGGTAGAGCCAGAATTCAGACTCTTTTTCCCACTGATCCATGCTATACTATGATTTCAACAATAGAGGCCATGTGCACCCCACTTTGCCCCATCATGAATGAGCCTCATATTTGCTAGGCATTTTGTTTTATTGAGGTATAAGGCCCAAGACCAGAAAGAAGAAAGAAATAAAAAGACAAAAGTTGTTTGGATAGTGAAAGAAAAATAAGGGAATGAAGACTTAGTCTTTATCTACTTCCTATGTGAAGATGGTATACACTCTGATGACGTATCCTGCATAGAAATTATACACACGCACACACATACACATACATAAATACATACATACGCATATGTATACACACACACACACACACACACATATATATACTCTGAGACACTGATGACATATTCTCAGCGGTGCTAACTATAAGGCTCCCTGTTTTCTAACCTGAATTCTTATAGGATTTAGATGTATAAAGAACCTTAATCCTCCTTACTACCACAACCACCATTTTAGGGATAGGGAAACAAGAGGCCTAGAGAGATGAAATGACCTGTCCCTAAGGTCACCCAGGAATAAAGAAGAAAAATCAGGTTTCCAAATAAGGTCTTCTGATTGCAAATCCCATGCTCTTCTGGATTTTGACCTGAGAAATAGAACAGAACAATTGTAATGGAGAAGTCAGAATCCCAGTGGAATCCCAGAAGGCAGCTGGGTAGGCTCAGAACCCAGTGCTCTGCCAGATGGTAGGAAGCATCTCAGCTGCCAGAAACTTTTGAATCCCAAGGTTAAAACAAACAAAAAGAGAGGAAAAAAACCCACTTAATAGGTCCATATTCTTTTCTCTTTTTGCTGAGAGACAGCTGTTTCAGTCATCAAGTGTTAAAGTTTGAATCTGCCCAAGGAGAGGGAAACTTTCCTCCTGAAAACAGCAATCTTCATCACAATTACATTAACCCCCAATCCCAAGGCCAAGGGCTATTCATGTAAACTAAGGGAGGTACTTTGCAGGAACTAGAGGAAACTTTGCCATAAAAGGGGCTGGGCCTTTACTGAAAAAAAAAAAATTGTTTTTTCTAGATTCTTCTGATGGGGAGAAAAACAGAAAGCTAACCAAGGCGGAGGTATTTCTTATCTGGGAACCCAGAAGGCTCCAGGAACAATCCATGGAGACAATACACGGGGCAACAATGGAAAAACCTAATTACACCAGATGAGACAAGCAGTGATTTGTACTGCTCCTTTAGAAGCCATTAAGGCAGGTCCGGTGGAAAAGTCCATTACCTGGCTCATTCTGCCCTTGAAATAAGTGCATACCGTGGTCCAGCTCTTCTACCCTTAATTCTTCCCAAACAGAGGTAGGGTTAACTTGGCTGAATAGAGACAGGAAGGTCAAAGGCCCATGGATGCATCTTGGACCAGGTTCAAGTCAAGTCACTGAGCATTTATTAAGCACCTACTATGTACTAGGCACTATGATAAGTGCTGTGAGTACAAAGAACTGCCAAAACCAAACAAAATGGTCCTGGCCTTCACATCTATGGGAGTGAAACAACGTAAAACAACTATGTACAAACAAAGTACGTGAGATAAACTAGAGATAATCAACAGAAGAAAGGCACTAGAATTAAGGGCAAAACAGGAAAGGCTTCTTGTAGAAGGTAAGATGTAGTTGGGATCTGGAAAAAGTCAGAAAAGACAGAGGAATTACAACTATCCACAGTCCAAAACAGACAGATAGAAGGAGAATTCATTTTGGAAGTATGAATGAGGAAATCTAGGCAAATCTTATCCTGTGTGCTTTTTTTAAGGATGTATTCTCTTCTTTTCATGGATGTATTCATTCATGCATTCTATATTCTAAAACAGGGACTCTCTGGAGCAGCTAGGTGGCCCAATGGATAGAGCACCTGCCCTGGAGCCAGGAAGACCTGAGTTCAAATCTAGCCACAGATGCTTACTAGCTGTGCGACTGTGGGCAAGTCATTTAACCCTGATTGCCTCCAAAAAAACAAAATAAGATACATTTCTCCCACCTTTTTTGTGTCATGGACCCTTTGGGAAATCTAGCAAAGCCTATGGACCCTTCTCAGAATAACATTGTTACATGCATAAAATAAAATGCATAAGATTACAAAGGAAGACAATTATACTGAAGTAAAGTTACCAACTTATTAAAAAAATTCAGAGACCTCAAGTTAAGATCTCATCTACCCAAAGGATTTGAAGTATATAAAATCAGATCCCTTCCCTAGTTGAGAAGAGGGGGACAAAAGACATTCACATACAAAACAAGTAGCAATGCTGGCATGAGTGCCATTTTCATTAGCTAGTGCCTTATCTTGATAGAATTTCTACCTGCGGAAGTGAGGTTAACTAAGTAAAGGATCAA